AATTTGGTTTATTTGCATAAATTTAATAATTAAAATACTTGGTTTTATTTCTGCCATCTTATTTTAAATTTGTTTTGTCATATCTTCTTTTTCCTGGTTTTCTAACTTTTTTTTGAGAATTTGATCAAGAGAGGATTAATTTACCTTTTTATTCTTCTCGAATTTAGGAGTTCCATTGTACTTTTTGTGACACTAATTTTTTTAAGGCTTTTGCCATTAAAAAAAGAGCATGGGAGCTTGCTGGAGAGAGACGGAAGGAGACAGTAAGAGGGAATATGACAGATCACCCCCCAGGGGTGATGGCCACATGTAATCCCTTCTCCTCCATTCTCCTCTTGGGATTTTGGGCACATGTGTACAAGTACCCGGCATGATTTTTAAGTCACCAGGCCCAGGACTCATACCGCAGTCAGTCATATGGGAGTCCAGCACCACTATGCCACGTGCTGGCCCTGACACTAGTATTTACATTAATCATTAATCACCTAATATCCCATGACACAAATTACTATTTTTCCCACAAAAAAAAAAAAAGAGAGATTTCCTGTTACCTATTTCTTCTTAGTGATTTCTCTCTACGGTGAGACCTCTGAGATTCCTTCACTTCCCCACTTTTTATTCCTCTATATACCAAAAAAGTCATTGAGAATATTTTTACTTCCTCTCACCCTTGTCCAATTCTAATAGTTTTAGACGATTATAATGTCTTTTGCAGTATGTCTGACCTACTGAGAAACCCATACTTATTCCACATTGTGTACATTCTTAGATGGTCTTTCCTTATTTTGATTTACTCCATGGATAGTGCAGATTTTGCTGGTCACCATTGCATCCTCTCAGTCTTTCCTCACCTAGAACACCCTGTGTAGGTTCATTTGGTGTTTTACCCCAAAGTCTACTTTAGAATTGTTCCTCAGATCAGATATGTGGATAATATCCTGGCTAGGTGCAGGTGTCCAATTCTGTGACCCTCTTAGGAGTCTATGGATGTTATTTCATTGTCTTCTACCTTTTGAATGTTCAGCTCTGTTCCAGTCTACTTTCTTCTCCTTTGTTAAAAAAAAAAGAGGGGAGGTTGGGGAGGAGAAAAAGAAAAAGAAGCACTTGCTATTTCTTGACAGAAGACTTAACATTTTCTTTGAACTGTACTGGCATATGCCTAAGTAGAACCTTGTCTCAACCCCACCTGAAATTGCACTTCTGACATACATATTCAAATCTTTCTAAAACCCAGGGAAAGCTCTTTTTTTTTTTTTAAATCTCTGTTATGATTATTTTTCTCCTCTGTTTTCCATTTCTTTTCCTAGAACTCTTATTAGTCAGAGGTCAGATGTTCTGAGTCTTTTCCTCTGCATTCTCATAAGATTTTTCTCTGTGTATTTGCCACTTTCCTATTGGATCTTTGAAGCTCCTAATTCTATTCTCAACATGATCATCCATTCCTTCAACCTATCTACTCAATATTTTTATATAACAAGCTTATTTTTTCATTCCAGGAAGTCTTTTTTATTGCTTTATATATACACACCTCTTCAAGGACTTGTTATCCTTCTGTCTCTGCTTCCCCCAAAAGTTTTCCTTCATTGACAGCCCCTTTTGATTGCCTTTTTAATGTTCTCTCTATGGCTATTAGGCCTCTTTAGGTATTCTTTAATTTTCATTTGTTCATTGTGGCATAGATCTACTGCTGGGTGCTTCAAGTGGACTAGTCCCATGAGCATGGGAAGACCAACATCTCAGTCATCATTGGTCAGTAATAGGAAAGTTTCCAGTTACTTACAGGGGCAATAGGAGAGCCCTTTCATTCCACATTAGGATAGAGAAAACTCAGCCCCTCCTCACTTCCTTGGGGTCAGAGGATCAGGACACTCAAAGGTCCTGTGATCACTGTGGATCAGCTCTCTCAAGGGTCTGCTACATGTTGATCCTTGTCCTGGAGTCCTCTTGCTGATCACTAAGCTGTTCTGGATCCCAGAGCAGCAAGAAAGTTGGCTCACTCACACCTTCTACCTGAGTTCTAGTTCTGTTGTGTCCTTGAGTTGAGAAAAGAAAATACATTTGACCTGAATGGGAAAGAGAGGGGAAACAGAGCATAGTTAAGCCATTATCTTCCCAGAATGTTCTGGAGATATGATGGCGAACATGGAAATAATACATTCCTTGTCCTCATGGAGTTTATGCCTTAGTTGGAAACGTAAACATCAATCAAAATAAATGATTAAATAAGAAAGAGAAAGAGAAAGGAGAGGAAGAATGGACAAATGGACAAACAAACAAACAAAAAAGTACACAGTTCTGAAATCACACCTGTGCTATGAAGGAAAGGAAAATAGAAATGTGAAAAATGTGTGAAAGAGGTGCTGACCTGGTAGTGATGTCAGGGCAGAGACATCTGAGAAAGTACCTGAGCTGAGAAAGAAAGTACCTCAGTTATTAGAAAGCTGAGAAAGTACCAGAGCTATAAGAAGAAACAGAGAGAGAGCTCCAGGCAGAGAGCGGTACGTTCAAAGGCCTTGGGAGTAAACATAGCATATTTGATGCATTCAGGGAACGAAAAGAAGGTTAATTTAACTAAGCAGAAAGAAAAAAGTATGAAAAAGAAACTGGAGAGGAAAGTATGACTGCCCAGAACCAGGTGCTCTGTGGGCCTTCACAGTGAGTGTTGTCTTTTCTAAGAGCAGGTGGCCATTGTAGTGTCTCACTCCAGGGATAAAAATATCTGATTCACATTTTTGGAAGACCATGAGAATTTAATGCAGAGAACAAATTTAAAGGAGCCACAAGGTGTTGGGAGACCAGTGAACAGGCTATTTTAGTAATCCAAGAGAGTTAATGAAATGGTGACCAATTTAAAGAAAAGAACACTTTTAGGTGATAAAATACAAAGAAAGGGGACCAGCAGATGGCATGATGGTTACATCACTGGATTCCCATGTAGTCAGCTGCAGTTTGAGTCCCGGGCCTGGCAGCTTGAAATTCATGCTGGGTGCATGTGCATGTGTCCCCAGAAGCCCAAGAGGAGAATGGAGAGGAAGGGATTATGGTGTGGCCATCCCCCTTGGGGGGTGATTTTTCACTTTCTGTCTTTCTGTCTCTCTGGCAAGCACATGAACCCTACAGAAAATGCTCTTTAAAAAAAAATAGAAGGGTGAAGAGTGGAAGTGTCAAAAATACCCCCAAAGTGCCTGGATGCTGCATGCAATGGGAACACTGGACTTAGACCAAGTTGGAGAGCACCAATTCAGTTGTTCATATCCAGAATCCTTTGAATACTCATGTAGAGAATTCAGTAGGCAGTGTGTCTCAGGGAGGTCTAGACAGGAAAGGTAAACAGGTAAGCCTTCTGGGTTTAAGTAGAAATTGAGACTCTTGGGCAAGAATGAGAACCCCTCGACAGAGAAGATTATTAATCTTGTACACTGTTCACATATGTTAAAGTGGACTATCTCTTCTGGAAGAGTGATTGCAAATGTGTATCAGTATCTTAAGCATATCAGTATCTTAAGCATGATCATAACTTTTGTTCCAAATATAATTTGTAGAGGGACCAGCAGTTAGCGTAATGGCTATGTCGCTGAACTCCCACATAGTTGATCATGGTTTGAGTCCTAGACCCGGTGGCTTAAACTCACGACAGGCACGTTTGTGTGCATGCCCAAGATTCCGAGAGGAGAATGGAGGAGAAGGGATGGTGGCGTGGTTGTCTGCCCGGGGGCGGGGTGTGTATGTGTAATTCCTCGCTCTCTGTCTCTCTCTGTCTTTCTGGTGAGCACATGTACCCTATAGCAAAAACCTCTCCAAAAAAAGAAAAAACAAAAAGCAAATATAAGTTTTAGAAATTCGTCTTTAAAAAATAATAGTAGTAAGTGTGACAAATACTCATGGAAAAAGTTCATTGATATTTCATCTGTTTGTCTGTCTGACTGGCTGTCTATCTGTTTAATAGATGGGGCCTTGCTATGTCCTGATTCTCCTGCCTCAGCCATCTGAGTTGCTGGGGCTACAGGCACGTACTACTACTGTGCCAGGCATCTGAGCAGCACGTGCCACTAAGGCTGGTCCTTTTTAAAGCATCATTGATGATAGCGTAAACAAAAGAAAATGATTCAGTTATCTAATATTAGGAAGAGGTCTGAGAAATTATAATACATTTATATTGATAACTATGATGCCATTATAATCGCATGTTTATAAAGATTTAATCACATAAGTAAATGGCTGTACTGTAAGGAGAGAAAAAGAAGATCCCAAAGTAAATGGAGAGCTAGAGAAGAAAAGGAAAAGGGAGGAGGAAAAAGGGAGAGAGGGAAAGCTTCAACTGTGTGAAAAGTGCACAAAAGTATAAAAAGAATAAGGTGTTTCCATTGTTATACTTTTATCTGGTTTCCAAGGTTTTCAAAATTGTATCTCTGCATGTATTATATTTTATGTATTTTATTATCAGTAAGAGTAATATCAAATTACAGAACTGTCCCAGGTAGAAATACGTACTTCACAGCCATCTCACCCTGTTAAATGCTGATTTATCAGGCTTTTTCACAACTTCAGGAGCATTTCTGTTTTGAATCTGGCATAGACTTCTTGTTTTGTAGGATTATTGCCATGCATTTTAAAGTTTTATGAGCTATTTAGTCATTCCAACTTGTTTAATAGCTTCAGAAAATTGACCTAATTATGGAGCAATGGCAGATTCCTTCCCCCAGCATGACTCCCTGTCACTTGTCACCGGTGTGTCATATTGCTTTCATTTGTATCTTCTTGACTTTTTACTTGCTCAGCAACGCTTTACCTCTGAATTCTTTAATGTGAGTTTTTAAAAACTTATATAATAACTTACTAATTTTAAATACAGTGGGTTCATTTTGTTTTCCTCCAGTGACTGTTGGAGAACTAAATATCCATTTAGACGGTTGTTTATAACATCAGTGTCTGCAGTGATATAAAATCATTTTGACTTTGATCCAAAACTAAAAGTATGATTTTTTTTTTCTTAACTCCAGGAATGTATACAAAGACTATCGCTTCCTCGAGCTGGCGTGTGACTCTCAGGAGGATGTGGACAGCTGGAAGGCATCTCTACTAAGAGCTGGGGTCTACCCCGATAAATCTCTAGTAAGTTGGATATATTTATATTTAAGTATTAATACTGGCTATATATAGAAAACCATATTGTTTCTACATAATGTGTTCTGGATAAAATAGTTCTCTATTGATTTACTTGATTTGGTACACTTTTAACTGATACTTTTATTTTTTTACATTCTTTTTTTATGATGCTTTTTTCCTACTTTTATTACAAAAGTAATTAGTTATGCCCTATAGAAAAAAAAGTAATTAGTATATTTGGTAAAGAAAATGTCCTTCCGTGCCATAAAACTTGATATATATGATCTCAGGCCAAAAACATATGTTTCTTTAAAATGTTATTTTCTTCTATATTCTGTTCCATAGTTGTTATAGTATGAATACAAACAGTAGATAATTAATCGTAGCACCAACATTTCATAATCTTGAAAAGGTATTTATTTTTATAAAAATGTGTCTCCATTATGTCTATATTACCTGAATTCATAGTTATATCTGTATTCACACTCTGGTTAATGTCATAATAGTGTGAAAAGAACAACAACCAAAGAAACCTATTATATTGCTGTTCCCACTTATCTTTCTTAATATGCTTCAAGTGTCTTGGAGACACTTTTCTCATTCAAGTTAATAAACAGACCTTCTCTTTGTGTTCTTTGGAAAATGGATATTGCACAGGCTTGTCTGCAAGTGAACTTCAGGAGTCCTGCACAGCACACACACACACACAACACACACACACACACACCATCAGACAGGCTCTTCTGAGTGCATCTGTTCGCCTGCTGCTTCCCCGGAATCTTTATACTACCCAGATTTCTCCACAGAACACAAATACCAAGAATGAGCCTTAGGGATTTAGTCCTGCTTGACCCTTGCGGTACCTACTTGGCTCTCATAGTTTATAGGATTGATTATCTATGAGTTAGGTCATTTTTAGGCCTAAAATAGGCATAGAGTCCTTTTCAGAGAAAGTCTGAGATATGGGTGCAGTGTAAGACGATCAAAGCACTTTGAAGGAGATTTTTAGGCCTGATCCCATCTCCGGTGTTACATTGGAATTTTTAAAAGAGTTCCAGGGATAGAAGATTGAAGATTTATTCCAAAAATATTTGTCTTTTTCATGTTGCATGCATATAGATTTACAGAGATATATTACCACTCTAAAGACTACCTATAAGAAATCAGAGTAGCATTTTTATTTTTTTTCAATATGATCATTGCTTTAGTCTTCTGTATTCATTGGCAGTAGTGTGTTTAATTTCACATATATTAAGTTCATGCATTGAAAGTGCCCATGTGGGGAACCAGCAGTTAGCGTAATGGCTATGTCGCTGGACTCCCACGTAATCGACCGTGGTTCGTGTCCCGGACCCGGTGGCTTAAAACTCACGCCGGGCGCGTGTGCGTGCGTGCCCAAGATCCCGAGAGGAGAATGGAGGAGAAGGGATTGCGGCGTGACCATCCCCCCTGGGGGGTGATTTCTCGCTTTCTGTCTCTATGTCTCTCTCTGTCTGGCGAGCGCACGCGCCCTACAGTGAAAAATCTCTCCAACAAAAAAGAAAGTGCCCATGTGCTTAATTTTCTATTCATTCACATCCCAAAAGCATTTTGAGCATGTGATTTTTTGCTAGGCAGGTACCATTCTAGGCATCTTGGTGATACAGGGGTAACCCCCAAGTTCCTGCTCCCATAAAATAGACACTAAACAAACAAATGAAGAACTATATTTCCATGGCATTATTTAAAATGGTGATAAGTTCTATGAAAAAAATTTAAGTTAAAAGGAAGACAGTAAAAGTGAGGGGCAGGTGAGCTTTATGTTAGCAAAGGTCATCAGGAGGATTCTTTGAAGTGCTGACATTTGGGTAGAATCATCAAGAAAGGAGGGAGAAATGATAAGCATGTCTGAAAAAGAATATTCTTGGCACTGGATAGTAACTGAACCAAGCTCAGTGTCTTAGAGGAACAACAAAAGTCAGTATGTCTGGATCTTCTTAGGGGGGACAAAGATGATAGAAAGTTTCTAAGAGGGTGATCAGGGCCAGATGGTGAGGCCTAGAAGGAGTCTTGGGGTTTTAGTCTGAGTGAGATGGAAAGATTCACGTTTTAAGAAACTTGTTGTGTCTGGGTAGTATGGGCACACAAGCTAAGGTGTAGGCTCCCATGTCAAATGAACTGTATTTAAATTACAGATGCTCTCTAACAACTGTAAAATATTGGGCCAGCTTATCAGCCTATTTACACTTAAGATTGTTATTTCTTAAAGTGAAGATAACAGTAGTCCCTTTCAGGGTAGTTGATAGGATTCACTGAGATTATGTAGGGAATACATTGAATAAGCACTAGAAAACACTCTGCTTTCATTTATAATAATAATTACTATGGTCATTATTACAATTTTCATCACAAACTGATTTCTTTAGCTAGTTAAACCAGTAAAGAGGCTGTTGTAATAGTCCAAGAGAGAGATCATAAGATGGTGGAATATTTAAGTACTATGACTATTATAATATAAAACAGTACGATTATAAATATTTTGTTATTTTCTTTCTTCTAAATATACTTGGTTATATAAGATGTCAGTAGGGGTGTGTGTGTGTGTATATCCTCTTTACATGCAAGTATAACATTTGTGAAAATAGTCTGAATTCCTAATTTTGTAATTTAAACCTATTTTCCTATTTTAAATGCACTAGACAAGTTTTATGGTTTGTTTTTTTTTTTTAATTATGTCATGCACCTCTTTGGGGAAAAACACTATCTTGAAAAACTAAGATTATTCATATCCCAATGAATTGTTCTGAAGTTTGAATTTTCATGTAACTGTAACTCTGTACCAAAAAGACAGTCAAGTATATAAATTTTCTGGTTTTTTTTTTTTTATCTCAATACACAGTTTTAAGCAATTTTAGAGATATTCTACATAATCTGCTTTAATTCTTTTCACATCGTTTTAATTTTTTATTAACATTCAATTCGTACAATTGCTTATAACATCAAGACAAAGGGGCCTTCACTACATTCCAAAGACAAGACAGGAAATTAAAGTTGGCAGTGTGCCATGAACATGCTTTGTCGCCATTTTCATTCTAAACAATATTTGCATTTTGTGTGCACTGTGTAGCCCTCTAGGTCATGTTACATGATTGCTTGTCTTTCAGATGGTTCAATGGCAGCTAACTACTAAAATCAATCAAGTAGAATGTTTATCCAGAGATTCCATTTTGTGAACACTCTTTATTTTGGGGGAAAAAAAAAACGTACTTGTAGGTGATACTTATTCTTAATTTAGAAAGATTTGATAAAGTCAAATTAACTGAATTATGGATGCCTTGTAGTAAATTTTCATGGCTTCTAAGCAGTGTATTATTTTACCTTGGTATCAATAAACCACTGAGTCAAAAACAAATTGGTCAGGCTACCTAATAATAAAACATCCCACAAGGACATAAGTTCAAACACAGAAAGTTCTGCCTTCTACACAAAATATCTCCATTTTGACTGGGTAAACATTTCCTCAGAGATCATTCCTTTTAGTTTGTTTAAGTTTGGCATTATGTAGATAATAACCATCGCCCAAATTTGAATGAAATGATGCTTCAGGAAGATGTTTTTTCTTGCTAAAAAATTTTTTTAAAGAAGTATTTGATTTAACTTTAGTTATTTATTTTATTTTGACCAGAGAGAAACAGAGCAAGAGCGAGAGAGAGAAGGAAAGTGAGAAAGTAAGCTGCTGGGTCCAGGATTCGAACCATGGTCAGCCATGTGGGAGTCCAGCGCCCTTAGTCACCACACCACCTTCCAGCCCTCTTGCTAGAATTTTAAATGCATACTTTTCAAACTAACATTCCACCCCATATTTTTCCCCACCACATCTAGCGATGAATATTTTTATGTCATTCATATCAAAATATCCTACTGCACTATTTCTTTTGTCTCAGGTTGTTTCTCTTAGGGTTTTCTAAAAAATTTCTTTTTTTTTTTTTTTTTTTTTTGGGGGGTTTTTTTTTTGTGGGGGGCTTGCGCTTGCAAAAAAGAAAGG